CCCCCCCCAGTACCAGGGATCAAACTCACAACCCTTGCGTTTGCCAGGCAGGCACTTATACCACTGAGCTATATCCCCAGCCCCTCTTTTCAACTTTTTTGTGATCAACTTTCACTTTATGAACCCATTATTAAGGAAAGCCATCATTTTCAGAGCCTGAACTGTGACTATTTTATCAGATTATAATGAGCTGTTCTAAGTAGAGAAAAAGCATTCAAGTCCTCTCCTGTTGATAAAGGTTTCAATACATATAGGGACCCAACCTGCTGGATTAAGTTCTCAGCCACTGCTCCTCTACCCTACCAAACTAACACCCTGTCTACAACTTGTAACAATGTTCCTTCTCACCACAACATACCTTGTGGATGGTTAACAAATGTTGTTACCCAAAAATTTGGGATTTTGGCGATCAATTCTGACCTCTTCTGAAAAAATGGTTGGCGGAGTTTGTTATATTTCTGTTCTACTTTCAATATCTCCTCACTGGCTTGTTCATTAAGTCTGAAGCAAATGAAGACATGTCAACAATGATGGTTATTTGACAAACACAGAAATTGCTTGACTACAGAATGGATATTCATTCTCCATAGCTTTGGGACAGTTCAAAATTTCTATTTTTAATAACCAAATCACCTAGGTTGTACCTAAAGATACAAAACTAAGGCGGCAATTTTTTTTGTTGTTTTTCTTTTAATCTTTTTGAGACAGGGTCTCCCCTATGTAGGTCAGGCTGGCCTGGAGCTCACATTGTAGCCCAGGCTGGTCTTGAACTTGCAATGATCCTCCTGCCTCAGCCTCCAGAGAGCTGGGATTACAGGCATGTGCCACCAGGCTGGGCAAGCAATTTTTTTTAAATCAATGAGCACTTAAAATAAGGGTTAATTCTTAAAAAGTCCCAGAATGAACATTCTGGTAACATTGTATGTGTATTTACTTTACTGGATTTCCAACCAAACTCACAATTACTTCCCTGAAGATAATGTTCTAAATAAAGCCATTAAGCAACAATGTTACAAGCCAGGTAGTTCAACACAGATGCAGTAAGGTTGAAAGAGAAATCCTATACAATCATTCAGAGATTTGTAGCCTTTAAAAACTGAACCCAAACATTTAAATCAATGTTCTTTTTAAAATCAAGTCATTAGTGACTATGTCTCAGAAAAATTACACTGAATACATTTGTAACAGATACAATCATCTCCCCTTCGCCAACAAGTACAAATTTCCGTATCTCGAAGTTATCAGACCACTAGATGCATTTCAGAAAGCACTAAAGTAAACCAGGAAAAACTTTTACCTGTCTATTTCATTTTGTACTTCGTCAATGTGTTCAATTGCTTCTTGTTGTTCTTTTTCTGCAAAAAAGGGAGCATAAAACTCAATACTATGGACTAATTTTCCTACTATTAAGACATGATGATACATCACCAAGCTGATTTTTTAAGAAGTGCACACTACAAAGCGTGTTCTCCACGTTTCATGCACTTAGTTGACAAATTACTTTCACAGTAAGAGACCATCCTGGTTCGCTGTAGTACTTTTACAAACAGTTCCAATACAGCAAGATGAGACTCCAATAGTTATTTTCTTTTAGGAAAGATCAGGCCCAGACTTATTCAAGAATTCTTGGTGTATTTATTTATCACATCATACACTTGCAAAGGAATGCCGGCTGCTAACTAGCATCTAACACAATACAATTTAGGACTTGCTCATCACTTATCTCAGCGGTACAAACACTTTTTACACCAAGTAAAAAGTTGAAGATTCTGCTGGGTAGTTAGCACCATGAAGACACCCAGGCGCACGGACAAAACTACGTCCTCAGAACTACTCCGCCGTCGCCAACCTTGCACTTGGGGGTCGTGGGAAGGAGGCCCCGCATTCGAATCCGACCTTGCCCACGGCTCCAAGCCAAGCCCGGCGGAAGGATCGCCGCGGCGGGCGGGCGGGCGCGCGCGACTTGGGAGCACGCTGGCTGGGAGGAACTACGAGGCCGGGAACCGCACGGCGGCGGGGAGCGGAGAACAGGGGGTGTGCGCCTCCCGTTCGGGGCCCTTTTGTCCGGTAGGAACTGCGAAGAGCCCGGCAGCGCTAAGTGGGCGTGCAGGGCCCGATGGCGAGGGCCATTTCCGGTAACCCTCCCGGCGGCCGCGCGGCCGCTGGCCGGCCCTTCCCGCCGGAGCAGGGCTTTCAGGGGCGTCCCGGGGACCTC